TTTGACATATGAATTTACAATAGTTCTCAGCTTCTTATTCACCAATACTACACAAGGTGCACATTTTAAGGTGTTTCGAGGAGAATCTTTTGGGGATATATATATATTTTTTTGCTCGATTGTAACATATGTTGATAAGTCTAGTGTTATTATAATATATATATAAAAAACAACCTGTTAAATCTAGGTGCTCTGGGGAGGAGAGGCAGTTGAGCTTGACCCGACTAAACCCGGAAAACTGGTCACAGTGTCAAACAGGTAATGATTGTGGGAAATTACAGCAGCCATTTTGAGAGCCGTTGGAACAAAATGGTAACTAACTACGTTAAATACCCTGTCTTGTTCACTTCTCCTCTCAGAAAACAATACGTTGCTGCGTTTGTTGACCACGCCTTTGATAAATCCGTCAGGGGAGTGTTTGAGGAGTTCAAGCGAGGTTTCTTCAAAGTGTGTGACGTGGATGCGGTGGACATGTTCCAGCCTGAAGAGCTGAAGGAAGTGATGGTGGGACATGGCAACTATGACTGGCCGGTTTTCAAGCAGGTTTGTTCCCTAAAAACTTTAGGTCACATTGGTCCTAATTGTTCTGAATCTTTAATGTAATTTTGTATACTTATGAACACTCAAAACAACAGGTCGTTCAGACTCTGATACTAACAGAATAAAGTCTAAAAGATGTTTTATTTTGAAAATCTAATGAACCTTCAATGATGGCGCAGTATTACCAGTCTGCAGTAACAGCTGATACTGGTCGACCGGTCCTTGGTACAAAGGTTTGGGGTGATTGGGGATCGCTGCTGTAGGAAATCATTGGCCAAACCTATATTTCACTGTACACTTTCATATATCTATACATTTTAGTTTTTTTTGATATGCAAAATGATTCCGACTGAGAAGGTATTTGTGTTGATTGTCCTCAACAGAACACAGTTTATGATGGCGAGTATCACGCTGACCATCCGACCATCATCATCTTCTGGGAGGTGTTTGAAAATCTGACAGAAGAAGAAAAGAGAAAATTCTTTTGTAAGAAAATCTAAACTGTTCACATGTGTAGTATTTGGGGTCAACCTGGTCAGTGTTATTCGTTGACTCCATTGTCTCCATTGACCTCTGTCTCCTTTACCAGATTTTGTCACAGGCTGTGTCCGTGTACCTTTTTGTGGAATGAAGCAGATCAGGATGACAGTTGCTGTGCTGCCTAATGCTAATGAAGTGCATATACCAGAGGCGCTGACCTGCCACTACCTGCTGTCACTGCCCAACTACCAGCGGTATCCTGTGAGCCAGACCATGCACACCAAGCTTCTGCAGGCCATCAATGACAAAAATGGCCTCCATCAGATCTAGCAAGATCTGATGGAGAAACAAAACAGTTTTATCATTTACTGCATTATTATTTTAATTACTGCGTTTCATTCACAGCTCCATTAGAGCAACATGCTATTTTATTTAGACTAGTTCACCTGCAGGATATGGCAGTTTAATTGTGATTAAGCTACAAAGTACATATAAAAGAATCTTTAATCAACCTGTTTCAGGTTTATTTTAGTTGCTGTATGCTAAAAATATATTTATAACAGTCAATAAATCTTATCTGTCTGGAAACCTGTTTGTAAAAGTTGTATAATTTCCGAACACATTTAAAAAACAAAATTATGAAGAGCTGGTAATCTTTTACAATCGCTAAAAAAAAAAAAACGCCAAAAACAATAATGCTGATTATTATTATTAAGAAATAATTAAGCTTTTTTAAATACAGTGGTCCCGCTCCTATCGCGGTAGTTGCGTTCCAAGACCCACTGCGAAAAGGGAAAATCCGCGAAGTAGGGGCGAAATATAGACTGTATTACCCTTTCCCACACAATTATATGTACAGTAGAGTTGGAGAATGGAAATATAAGACGTTGCTTCACGTTATCACCTTTGTCCCGCGTCACGCAAATTGAAGATTTTGTCCCACTTTTTCATTTGCTTTACTTAATTGAAAATCAACTATTTTGTGTGTCTGGCTGTCTATTGTCACGTCATGGATAGGACAATAGCTGATAGGACAATCTCAAATCTCAAGAGAGATCCAGGTCAAAGTTCACTCTGCACATAGCTGCATTGAGTTCGACAACAATGTAGAATATATATTCATGGCCATGGAATCTTGTTGTAGCCTAGGTTTGAACATTTGGTTACTTTTCTGCTACCAATGTGTTTCATAAACGTGCTTTTCACAGTGCTGAGAAAGGCTGTTTGCCTGCCACTTGCTGGGTTGTGATGAAAAATCTGTTTGATGTGGAAGAATTAAGGTAATGCATCGATAAATATGTAACATTGCAACATGTATGTACTTTTCAGGTTTATGTTATATCTTACACTATAGAGTTTTTGTTTGTTTTGTGGAGGTAAAAGGCAAGATACGTGCATGTTACTTGGTTAAAAAAAAAAGGGTTGGCTTTAAATGATTGCAGCTGTCCCTCATTGTCCCACATAAACCTGCTACTTGTCCAGCAATTTGTCCGTATGGAGGTGGTCACCCTAGTTAAAAGCAGAGGTCACATTTTGTTGTGTGTCACAGTGTCAAATAATTCACTTACTTTTTCTTTTTTTCAAGGGGAGATGCTAATACAGGCTACGATGCATGAGCCAATCAGCGCGAGGTAGAGAAGAGCATGCTCAATGCAGTGTTCGATCTGCTTAAGGTAAACAAAGCTACCAGCGATATGTTTTTTACTGTTTAATTTTTTTAGGTTAGAAAATGTTTTGTTTTTTTATCCTGAAAATAATGTAAATAGAAAATATATTTTCCGTTAAATACTGCGATAAAGTGAAACACTCGCGAGAATGGAATAAAAAAAATCTGTGTTGTACTGAGGGAGTGAAAGGAGTACTGTGATATAGAGAGGGACCACTATAAATAAAATATACTAAAAACAAAAAAAAAATACATAAACTAAATTATGTATGCAACATAATTATATTTTAGCCTTTTTATATTTATAAAAATATATCTCTTTTGGGAATTATTTTTCTTTTTTTAGGAAATTTTGAAATAGATTTATAGTATGCTTGTTTTTGGTGATATTTTGACATGGTCAGATATGATATGCTGAGTTTTTAGTACAAATTATTCCCTTGGCAGCATGTTTTTGTACAAATTATTCCCTTGGTAGCATGTTTTAGGGCATAAATTTGCAT